GAGGGGGGGGGTTTTACCTTTTCACCACGTATAAATCAAACCAGACAGGCACTATAACAAGAACTGGACTGCTGAGCACTACTGTTTACAAACCCATCCCCTGTACAACCTATTGCATGACAAAATGGGGCGACGGGAAAGAGAGAAGGGCAAGGAAAAAAAAATGGATGTGAAAAACAGAACCCAACTATACCCAGTTTACATACTCCCTTGAACCAAAATCTTCTTATATACGCTAAATTACACGAACCAGCCTCTCTCAAAGCAAAGGGAATGCCTTGAGAGGAAAGCAAGAAGAGTAGAGGGGGAAAGCTCAAGCGGGCTCGTATCAACAGTAAAAATCAGGATACATGTGGGAGATAAACTCCCTTCCCCCACCCAAGTCAAAAAAGAATCATAGCCTACAAAACCACCAACCAAATTCATAAACAATAAATGTAGACCATCATAAGTTAACCTCTTTCACACTGCTTTTGTGGCTTCGAAGGGATGTGGTATTGAGCTATTGCCCTGGCCGCAGTTCAGCTAGTTGTATATTTTAACTGGCCTCTCAAATGTGTGACGGTTCTGCAAATTGATCAAAGATATCAATAGAGATCAGACATTGCCCAAATTATAATCCATCTCTCAGCAAAAATTGAGTTTATAGACTTCATGAATTAAACAAAACAGTTGCCGCCGCAGAGTTTGATNGCTTGCATGGATCCACAATGGGGGCATGACTAAGGAGTCAAGTGAATTCATAATTAAATCGAAAATATGGCATGAATACAAACTTAGAAATAACTTGACTTATTTATACGAATAATAAAAATATATAACACGAATAACTCATTTAGCTTGTATTGTAAGGAAAAATAAGTAATTTTTTCATTTGTTTCTTTTTTGTGTCTAATATTGTATAAATTATTTTAAAATTGAATACTTCTTTTCGTTAACACGGTTATTGATAAAAGCATGACACTAATTAAGTCTACATTCTTTGTCTCATTTTGTTTAATAACGTCTCATTAGGTGTGAAGATTGGCTTATAAGAAGGGGATTGAACCTCTCATTTGTACAATATACCCTTTGATAATAAAAAGAGGATAATAATTATTTAGCAAAAAAAGAAATTGACGAGTCTAATATTGGTCTTATCAGACATCAAATGGAAAAACCACTTGTTTCGATCTTCTTCCTTCGTCCATTGTATACGATACCTCTATCACCAGCGTACTTCTTCCATAGCCATAAGCTCATCCAACTCCCTTTTTTGCTTCTGTTCTACCCTATAGGACCTCTCCGTTATGGCCTCCTCCTTGATTGTTGCTAATTTAGTCCTTACTTCTTCTATTATGTGGGGAACATTTCCCATCTCCTTATTTGATCACCAAGACACTACCGCACAAAACACTAATCATCAGCAACCCCTAGTCTCACATTTTGGACCCAAGCACAACGGTTACTTCCTCCCCAAAAGTTTTACAAATCAAAATCGAACACCATGAAAATCCTCATCGAAGCTCATTGATTTGGTTCAACACAATTCGGTTATGTTATAACTTTTGATCAAGTTATTACTTTCGTGATAACTAACAATTGATATAACATATATATAGTTATATATATGTGGTACCGTAGACTCCTCCAATTCGCATATGTGACGCACAACCAGGCAATTCTGCCTCGAACAAGGCCCTAGAGTTCATCAGCCTATACGAAAACGAAGACAAAATGGTTGGGGAATAAGTCACTCAGCAATCAAAGCGAAGAGAATAGGAGCGATCAGAGCCCTCTTGCTCGCGAAAAAATTATTTTCAAAATTAGCAGATCTCGGTACATAGCACAGATGCTAAACTCACAATTATGTCAAACTAAATTTCTTTTAAGCTCACTTAATCAATATACATTAATAGCGAGAGAGAGAGAGAGAGAGAGAGAGGGGGGGGG